GTGGGCTCGGTATGGGGAGGGGGAACGGTCCCGCCGCTGCCGGGCCCACCGCGGGGCTGTCTGCTGGGGGGCTGCCCTGCGCAGGCAGGCAGAGCAGCACCTACAGCACGTCGCTTAAAATAATAATAATAACAACAATGATGTTAATAATAATATAGCGCCCCGACTTTCACTTGGTGCAGCTGTCAGCAGGCGTGCCCGTGTTGGTGTAGCCGACAAGCTCCAAACAGTTCAGGGCAAAAAGAGAGCTGTGCGGTAGGATATTTGAAACGCGTATCTATTTTCAGCAGCATGCGTTAAACTGGTAGTCTTCTGAATCATTAAACAAAATCAGGAAGGTGTGCAAGAAAATGGCACCTTTTTTTATTTTCTTGTCTATATAAATAGTCTTAATCCCGGGCCCTCTTTCATAATTACAAAAAATACTCCTCTTGAGTTAATCATGCACCTTCCTGCTCCTTTTTGCAGAGCGTTGGCTCTACAGGAGGGCGGCTGAATGAGTGGTACGTCAATAAGCAAATATTCTCATTATATGAGTCAGATGCAGATCGCCCCTCCGTAGCTGTCGTTCACAGCATGTCCATCCCAGATTCTTAAAAAGTCTGCCCAGCGCCATCTCTGGAATAGCTCTGATTTTTGGCTGACGCCGTGTTCTTGGTGCTTCATTAGCAGCTGTTGAGAGTGATTTCTTGAACTATTTTGGGAAGGTCGTAAGCAGCGTGTGGTGCAGTATGGTCCTCGCACCAAAGACTCTTTGTGTCCTTCTGCCAAATACAAGGAACAGCCAAGGGGACGGCGGTGTCTTTCTTCCATTAACGTCCGTGGGAGTGGGCCACAGGGTGTCAGCCAGCGTGAATCAGCTTGCAAAATTGAGACCTTAGTTTGCCACTGGATGGGTTTTCTTTTTTTTTACATGAAAGACTGTGTCATGGAACCACAAGCTGTATTTAGTCTTTCTAAAATAGATGGAAAACTTGTGTTTGTGTGAGACTGCTCGGGGTTATCTGTAGCTTCCATGAAAAAATTGGGTTTGGAATTTTGAACATAAGCCAAGTATTTTTTCCTGCCCCTTTTGTAGCCTTAAGATTTTGGCTAAACATCTGATTTAATTATAGAAATTCAATTGTAGCCTTCGTTATAGTGGAACCACTGTTATTCAGTGTTAACCAAGGCTTGAGAAGTTTCTCAACCCATCAGAAAAATGAAACCATAAAGAAGCAGCCTTAGCCAAAGTACCAGAAGCAACAGCTTGTTGAAAAAAATCCCTCTTTATCTTCCTCATATCTTCTCATGTGAGACAAGATCAGCTTTTCCGTCTTACAGTTTTCACTGCAGCCTCCTAAGATGCTTTAACTGTCCCATTCATCTGTGACTGGAAAACGTTCTGCATATTTACACTGTGTTTCTTAACTGCAGGAATTAGTGTCTTTTTTTTTTTTGCCTTTTTTTTTCCCCCCTCTGCCTGGACATCATGGTTCCATCGGTGGGGATGGCTGCTGTTCTGTTCTCCTAGAGCCTCCATTCTGGGGGGCCTCCCTGTATGCTCAATTTCCCCAGGCTTTGTTTCTCCTGCTGCTCAAACCTTTCCCAAGCAGTAGTGCAACTCATTGAAAACAGCAACTTCATATTAATGAATTAAAGGAACAACATAACATATATGAATAACACAACGTGAATAACATAAGCATGCTTGATTGCCCCCGGAACACTCAGTGTAGGGACAAAGCCCCACAAAGCTTGGGTTTCTTCTTGTTCTTTTGAAGATAATGGAATTACTTATTTTTAAAACTGCACTTGAAACGTTGTGTGTGCATTGTGTAATTAATACTTGGAATGACTGGTGTTAGAGTGAGAAAGAGCCTGTCACTACAGAGGTCGGTTTTCTTTGTTTCCGTTTTGTAAGCAGCGAGCGGGTGTCTATGAATTTCTTGCAATGTGAGCAGAGAGAGGGAGTGACTTTTTCAGCTGTGACCACACACCATGGCAAAGTCATGCAGGGACAGGTGCAGTTAACTGGGTGGATTTCAGGTTGTGTTTACTGTTTATTTTATGCCTTCTAGTAGTACCTGGGTTAATTTTAGATCGGCGTTCTGGCCAGTGCTGGAGGAGGCCGACAGGGTCATGACAAGGGCTTTTCTGTGTGGCTTGGTTATAAGCGCAGCAGTGTGTGGAAGTATACGGGGTCACTTGGGTCTCCCATTTGTGTTTTTGAAGTGTTACAGATTGGGAGAAAGGGTTGTTCTCTCTCGTGTAAAAAGTAAAGAAAGCTAGCATTACCCCTTGTATCCAGTGGTGTTTTATTTTTAGATAAATGTGTGATTTTTCCTTGCAAGAAGATAAATGATTTCATGTTCTAACAGTGAAAATTGTTTTGGATTTCTTTTCATTGGACTGTTTTGTGTGCTAATTTTTATAAAAGCTACAGTGAAATTGAAGTTATTCATATGTCTGGCAAAAATCACACCCTGTATCTGTGAGGGGGAGAGATTGAGGAGCTGTTAAGATTAATTATTGAAGTACAGCTACAATTAAAGATGAGTAGTCCGGAAGTCCTCTGGTAAAATAATCACTGACATTCTTTTTTTCATTAGTAATGTGTTGTATATTCAAAAGCTAAGCCAGCATCTTGATGTTGGTTTCAGCTCGGAGACTCTTCTTGCTCCCAGGAGTTTACTCCAGCCTGTCATACGCATAAATTCGCAGAGTGTATTTTACAAGCGTACTAAATTGCTTTGCTTTATATGTCTGCAGATGGCAAAAGCCAAAGACAATATAATTGTGACGTCTAAGCCTGTCTGAGTTCTCTAAGCCGTGGGTTATGATTAGGAATACTGACTTTTTGCAGCAATGAAGTTTTATTATAGTGAATAGGTACAGTAATGGATGCATCTATTGCTGTCCTCAACTCCTTCGGCATTAATCAATTCCTATAGATTAGGTTGTTTCTCTCTAATTATGAACATGTGGAAATAAGCCAGGTAACCGTAGAAAATCTCAGCTTAATGTGATAAGACTTGAGGAAAGAGAAACATTTAATGGCTAATTTGAGATGTTGAGTTCTCTGCTTCTCTCAGTTTACATTTTATGGGAGTTCCTGTAATGTTTCATCCAAAGTTTTGTTTCTTTGCCAAATTGAAAGGCTGTGGATATATAGAGAAAAATTCATTACGTGATGTGATGCAATTAAAATTAGGGCCATATAAAGAAATGGAAATGCTTAGGAGAAACCTGCTAAAGAAGTTTGTAGGAGCTGTTTGACATAGTTGCTGAAGTGTATGGTGAGCTGTAATTTTTGCAGGCTTTCACAAATATTTCTATCTTCCCTCCCCAGTAAGAACTTAATTTAGTCCCAGATTCTTGACAGATCATTCAACTTTTTGCTGATGTGACGGACATGATTTGGGTAATTGCGTTTAGTCAGACTCTGTGCCCATTAATTCAGCTTTGAAAACAAGAATTGCCAAATTACCCCAGCTCTCTCTCCCTGCGTGACTGCCGAGCGGTGTGTTTCTGGGCCAAGTTATTTTTTGTTGCAGGCAAAGGTCAGGGGTACAGTAGGTGTGCATTACTCTGTGGTAAAGAGGAGTCTAGTACAGTGCACTTTTGTAATTTCCATGATGACTGGTGGGGTGAGGACACACAGGAAGAACGAATGCGCCGGGTTGAGCAGCCGTGCTCCAGTTGCACCACATTCCTCCGGCTCACGTGTGGCCTCTGGCTCTTATGCCAAGCACCTGCATTTGGTTTTGGTTTGTTTTGGATGGAAAACAGATATTTTTCGTTGGTTACGAAGGCAGCAGCCGGTAGTTTTGTTGTTGTTTTAATGCTAATGTCATCTGGAAGAGTGATTACACGCTTTCTGAATCCAAAGTTAGTCACCAAGCTTTCAGATTTCAGCACTTTGAGGAAAGAAATGAAGCATTTTAAAGTTTTACCTGAAATCAAACCCACAGAGCTGACCAGAGAGAGAGAGGCACAAGATGCCATCCTGTCAAGGCTTACTGTATAATTCTTTATAAATAAAGCTTAGATATCCCTGAAATAAAGGACTTGATGGGTTGTACGTGAAGCATTAGGCCTCTGTTAGGATGAAATTGTCAATTCTACATGTTCCAGAGGGAAATGTAATGAATTGTTTTTCTGTACTTGGACTTAACCCAAGACACACTTTTGAGGTGTGGATCAGGATGGTGCTGTAAAATGGGAAGCACAAAGGAAAGTTGGAAAGCCATACGCTGGCAGAAGACAAAGCACATTTGCTGTTTTTTATGCCATCTATATCTCTTGGCTGTCTCTCTTGCTGTTTGCTCTTATTGTTAGCTTTGTCACATCATGCTTCAATGTAATTTCTCAATATGCATCATTCATGTGCTATTTTCTTTGAATGTATTTCTCAATACATTGTGGAACATGGAGGGGAGCAGAACATAGCTGCTGCATATTCAAAGGGTGAAAAGACAGGGTGATGAAGCCTAAAAAAATTCCCTTCTGATCAGTTCTTTGCAGTTCCTGTACCTCAGACATCCAGTGAAGCTGAACTCAAGCAGACATTTGGGTCATGGACTTGTGATGACTACAAGTGCCTAGTAGAAATAAGTAGAAGACAATGCAACTTATTGCTGTTACTAATGCAAGAAAGATTTGGATATCATGTAAAAGTCTTGAGAGTACTGTCCTATTTGGACCCATTAATGAATAAAGTGTGAGACATTTCCACATTAGAAGGGAGAAGATGCAGTGCGCAGTATATGAAAACCTGCCTTTCGCACTGCCAGAGCGGTCTCAGCTAATACCCTCACAGCTTGTGAAATAACGCAGTTCAGACTAACACTACGGTATCTGAGATAGCACTATTAATTTCTCCAGTGACTAAAGGTTTTGAGAGTACTATATGTTTTTCTTAATACACGAAATACTGATATTGCTAAGCTATAGATCTTCTAGCAACAGCAAGTAATTTGCTTACATGTTCGATAATAAAACAAGCTGATGTTTCCTCAGCTTAGAGGTTCTGTTGCAATTCCTGGGACAAATGCTCTAGAATTCTGCAAGAGCTTTATACATTTAGCCATTATTTCCAAAGATTAAGACAGATAGTTGAGGTTTAAAGATTCCCACATGCTTCAGTCTTCTTATTGTTTCAGACAACTTACAATGCCATATTGTGCAAAATATCAATAAAAACATTTAATCTCTTCCAGGTTTTCAGACAAGAAGGAAAGGCTGATGCATCTTAAAACCAAACAAAGAGAATTCCAAAAACAGTAAGTTGTAGTTACTAAATGAAAATAAACTGTAAGAACTCTCAGAAAAACAAAACAGTCTCTGTAACGCGCTGTTGCTGGAGACAGACATAGTCCAGATAGTCATAAAACTTTCAATCATGTTTTTTCCTCTAGTGTTTTGAAGGCCATGGAAGGAATGATCAGCTGGTGAGTTGTTCAAAGTGTCCCATAGTTTTTAAACTCTCTCAATTTCTAGATCTCATAGTTTAAAGTTACAATTTACCTTGAGGGCATTGTGTTGCTTTCCCAAAAAGCCTGTTGTAAGCAAAACTGAAATTGGCTCTGCAAGCAGAGTGCTCCAAACGGTCAATATTTTTCATTTCTTACTAGATAATTGTTCAATAACTTATTATACTGATTGACTTTATACTTAGCATTCGGTTTGTTTGTGGCATTCTTCTGTGCACAAAACAGTATATGAAATATTTATTTGTTCGTCTGATCCAATTAAGAACATCCTGCTACTTTTGCACTAAGGCTGCTGGCTTTGTTGTTAATCATTAGTCAGTGTGTTTGAAGTCGTTCGTGCCCTAGAGTTGCTGAATGTTCTTTTTCAGAGATGGAAAATAATGTCTTGCAAGATGAGGATTGAGCAGCTGAAACAGACCATTTGCAAAGAAAATGATGAAATGACAAGACGTGAGTAATGCCTGTGCTTTTGTGATGTGTAAAACTCTGTGCCTTGGAGTGAAAAATCAATTGTTGTGAATTTGAGTGTTAGTTTTTAAAAATGGTGAATTTCCAAACTGTCACTTCTTAAATCAGCTTGAAGGCAAATTGATGAGTGGGTTTTAGCCTTTTTATGCTTGGGTTTTAATTAGCAAACAGTAGACATTATTCAGGTGGATGGAGATAATTTTGCAACAGCTTTAAAAGTAAATGCTTAGCAGCCTATGACTTTGGCTTTGTCCTTAGAGATGGCTTTATTCAATGTACTGTTTCTGATCACTTCCTCTTGATAAAGAGGAGCAAACAACTCTGCAGCTGTTAGGAATTTCATGTTACTGATGAATTTTAACCCACACCAGTCTAGAAATCTTAAAATCCTACTTGAGCAAGACTCACTGAAATATGGCATAGGCTGGTGACTTGCTACCATTCACCAGCTTCAGTTTTGAAACTCATTAAATATTTTACACATGAGAGATTCGTAGGGTCATTTTTCAGAAGAGAATGTGCAACACTCCTTACAACCTGCATGCAAATGAAAGATAGGAAGCATATTCAGAAGCATATTGATTGAATTGAGAACATTTTTATGACCTGAAATTCTAGAGGAGCCATACAGAGAGTGGAAGCACAGGCATATACTTGAGAATAGTTACAAAGGAATAGCACAAGCTTGCGGTGATAACATCAAAAAGGCTGAGATGCAAAATTATTTTCAATTAATAAGGAGGATGGATAGTAACAATAAGAAATGTATAATAAGAAAAAGATGAAGGAGTAGGCAAGCCTGTTAGTTAACAGGAAGGAGAGCAAATAACAGTGCAGAGAAGTCTGAAGCATTCAGCGCCTTCTTTGCTTAGTCTTCTCACAAAGAGAATGTGATCAGCTGCTTAGCCAGATTAAATTTTACATCATGAGAGGAGTGCAGGCTAAGGAAAGAAAACAGCCACCTAAATATTATTTTGATTATGTCAGCAAGGCGTTACGAGATTTCACCTTAGGGAACTTAAGGAACAAGCTGAAGTAGTCTGTGGAATTCTTGAGAACACATGAGGGAGAGAGGATGTCCCAGGAAACAGAGTGAAAACGGCATCTTTTTTTGAAGGGTGGAGGAAGAACTGATGACACAGTCATCCTATTATAAACCTCTAACCACTTTGCAGGTAATTAGAAGATAAAGTAATTAAAAATAGGCATCACTTTTTTAAGAATAGGCCATGTCAAATCAACCACTTGTCTGCGGATCGAGTGGTCTAGTAGAGGAGAAAGCAGAAGATGCAACATGCCTTGCCATTGGGCACTACCGCAAAGTGTCTCACGAGCAAGCAAAGACATTTGCTTTGGGTGTAATCACTGTAGGTTGACACAAAAGGCTGGAAAGGCTGCCTTCAAAGAGTGGCGATACTTGTCAAACTGAGAAAGTGGAGCTCAGCAGGAACCGGTTCCTGGCCCAGTTTTGTTCAGTATTTTCCATAATAGCTTGCATGGTAGAATAGAAGGTGGAATGGAGGAAGCCAAGCTGAATGCTGTGGGGAACAGGATCAAATTCAAAATCATGCAGATAAATTGACAATATCATCTGAAAAGAACAGAGTCGAGTGCACATTGTTTAGGAAAGAGGAACATATAAACCTGAAGTAGGGGACAGTGGTGATATTTGACAGGAAATAATCTGGGGAATTGCAAATTAAATAAAAAAAATCAATCTAATGCTGCTCCAGAAAGGTTCAGACCTTATTCTGGGTTATACTAATATAAGCATTGTATTTAAGGTGGAAGCAATTATCCTGCTGTGCCTGACGTTGGTGTTACCTCAATGGAAGTCTGGAGTCCAGTTTGAGGAATTTAAGAAAGATACGAATTAACTGCAGAAAGTCCGGAGGAGAATATTAGGAATAAAACACAAGGAATGGCTAAGCAAATTGATGTTTGATTTGGTTTAGAGAGAAGGAAGGTGAAGAAAAGCAAGCTTTTCAGTAGGTAGAAGATTATTGTGAAGGAGATAATAACTACTTGTTCTCTTTAGCCTGTGAAGAAAGAGGAAGAGGAAATCAATGTGACTTTGAGGAACTTAGTCACCTTTTCTTAAAATGCAGCTCCGAAGGTGGCAAAATGTTAGGACCAACTGGGGAGGGGAATTCCTCCACTTTTCTACTATTCTGTGAAGCGCATTATCTGCAGCTTTTGCAGCTTCTCTTTCACAGTGAAATTGATGAGACTTAACCCATGAACTGACCTAACTATTGCCCAACCAACCTGTTGTTAGCTCAATTACCCCAAAACTGCTCTTGCAGGTAGACCCAAAATGAACTCTTGCCATGGGTAGCCAATAGATCAGGAACTCAACTTGGTTCACTCTTGGACCACATTAGAAAATGTAAATAGGTTGTTTCTCTTCTCTTGGATATGGCATAGTTTAGTTTTTTTGAACTAAGAACAATTTCTAGCACATTGGGCTCCTGCTTTTGCAGTTGACTGGGTACCTCAATAATTGGTGCTTCTTAAAATAAGGTTTTAAAATATGTGTTTGCCCTCTGTCTGCAGAGAACAGGTCAAGGAGACAATCTTGCAAATATCTGGCATAGCTCTCTGTTGGGCAGAGATCAGTGTGCCTGTGCTTGCATTTATCAGGCAATGTAGATGTGTGGGATGTAGTGGTGTCCTGAAATACTTCTGGGGACAAATCTTAATCGCCTCATAAACGGGGTCATAAAGCAGAGGTGCTATGCTGAAAAAAGAACAGTTGTTTCTGCACCGGGACTGCTAAAGAGGAAATGTGTGTGCAGTGTTCTCCCCTGCTTCTCAAATAATTGCTGTTGGCCCTGCAGAAAAGGGAGTTCTCTCTGTGAAGAAAACAGCCTTTCAAGTACAACGTGAATGTGAAAATTGAACAGGTGGACATTTTACTCCTCCTCTCTGTCTCTTGTTCTTTATGCAAAGGGAGAGTTTGGGAATATGAATGCAAGCATTAATTGATTTTCTGTTGATGTTACAGGAATGCTTAAAGCAAACTGAATTACTAGCTGGCACGTAGGGATTCTTGGTATTGCTCAGAGAAAAGTTTCTACGTTTCCTCTAACAGGGCTCACTTATTTTATAAATCTGAGGATTATTAGTTCTCATCTGCATAGGGAAGCTACTCTCACCTTCTTTAATTTGGGACTTTGCATCCCCCCCATATCAGATCTTCCTTCCTACCAAACACATCATGGATCGCAACAGATCAGTTAGATGACTAGAAATAATTCCTGACATTCAGAGGAAGCGGCCTCTGTGTCTGCGGGCGCAGGCACACTCTGAGGGGTGCCAGCAGTCCTGGCCTCCCACCCTGCCAGACCAGGGACCAGCCAGAGGTCTGTGCAGTTCAGCTGTGCAGGTGCAAACCAGGACTAGCAGGAGGGTGTCGTGTGCTGGACAGGCATGGCTGGGCACAGACCCGCAGACGGGAATCGGTCTTGCGTCCCATTCTTTGGATGTAGCCTTTAATTTTTGTGCTCCCCTATTGGGAAGACTGACAGTCTGAATGTGTGGTTTGAGGTAGCTATAGCTGCTTAGAAGTTTTCTTCATTTTAGTAGTATATAATCAGCTTCTTAGAGTAGCAGATGCCATGGAGCATTCTTGTTGTAGCTCCGGTCTCCTCTGTGCCCTGCAATCAAAATATGTCAGTAAAACAATGTTACGGCTTAGTGCTTCCCTTCTGTGCACGGGGCAGTTATCCCACTTCTTGATTACAGGAAAGTGATGCCTTGCTGTAAGAGAACCTGACTAACACTGTTTCTTTTCAGCCATAAAAACAGAAAGTGGTGACTAGTAGTAGATGGGGGCTTTCGTTCAAACTAGGGTACATTAAGATTTTTAGACATGTATTTGGAGACTGTATAAGAAATGTTTTCCTATGCTTTTGAAAGACAGAGGTGGTTAACTCACTCTCTTTAGCACCATATGTTTGTGGAAGCATTACTGCAGTCAGTTATTTTATAGGAGAATCAGCAGATGCTCTTGAAGGATATTTTTCCAAGCCTCAGTGTGCCTGACACATGGAGTAAATTCAGGCAGTTGCAGCACTTCAGTACATAAGCACATTTCTCTTTTTGTGACTGGAGAGGGAGATAGTCAGTGTTCCCTTGTGGTAACAAGAAGTCTGCACCGCTGGGATCCAAGTGCTTTAAGAGCACATACATGAGTGTGAAGCCCAGATAACGTATATTAATGGCAGCAGTGGTGCCAGAAATGGTGAATGAAGATGCTGTCTGCACTTGATTTTGGCTGTGAGCAATGCATGTCTTTTTGCCCAGCACCATGCAAACATGTACAGTCAAGCTATTTCTGTCATGATGATTACCTCAGAAGTTTAATTAAACTGTGAAATCTTGGCTTTTCTGTTCCAAATCCAAAAATAGCTGGGTAAAAGATAGGGAAAAAAAAAATCCCAATTTCAGTCTCTTTAGAGATCTTCAGAAAAGATTAAAAAGTTGTACCACTTAGCAGCTGGAAAATGTTAATAGTTTAACAGGATTTTCTGTTTTAAGTTGCTATAGATCTTGCTTTCTATAAATGTTAATAATGCTTTTCTCAAGCTTACTACAAGTACCTCACAGCTCCTTTTCCAAGGCTAACATCTGCTGCTGTTTTCATAGATGCGGAGGGGCTTCTGAGAATTAAAGAGGAGAACCAGAAGCATTATCGCAGGGCTCAGCGGCATCAGGAGAAGAAAGAGAAGATCCAGAGGCATAACCGCAAGCTGGGAGACTTGGTAGAGAAAAAAACCTATGACTTGAAAACCCAGTACGAGCATCTGGCAAATCTTCGTCGGACGCATATCCTGGAGCTAACATCAGTCATATTTCCCATTGAAGAAGTAAAGACAAGCATGAGGTACAGAAGGCTTATCCTTTTGGACTCATTTTGCTTAGCTTTAGACACCCAGAAGTGAGTTACGTAAGTCTAAGCTAGACGCTCTGGCTCCCTTAGCATCTGTGGGGAGAAGGAGGTGTTTCCCAAAGGCAAAGCATCTGACCCAGAGATAGAGGTCCAGAATAGAAGAATCTGGAGGTGCTAGCATCTCCCCACTGAGAGATCTGAGGTATGTGTCCAATGCTAAACTTTCTTAAAATAGATCATTAAAAATCCCAGAACAAAGGAAAGTAGTTTTGGGAGTAAGGAGTTTTGCAGGAGTGTTTCTACAAGCGGTTTGTTCTCTGTGAGAGCTGGCTAAATGCCTGCCAAGTACATCTCTGATTCTATTTTAAAAACTTTTTTAAAAACACTCTGTTCCTCTCTGGGTGCTACAGAGATCCTGCAGATGTGTCTTCTGAGAGTGACAATGCTATGACCTCTAGCACTGTGAGCAAGCTCGCGGAAGCCAGGAGAACCACGTATCTCTCTGGGAGATGGGTGTGTGATGATCATAATGGGGACACCAGCATCAGTATCACAGGGCCTTGGATAACCCTTCCTAATAATGGAGACTATTCAGCATATTACAATTGGGTGGAAGAGAAGAAGACTACACAAGGACCAGGTAAGGAGCAAGGTCTGATTAGGTATCTGGGTTACTCCGGAAGCCATAGAACTTGCAGCCTTGGATGCCAACAGAAGGCGCTGAGGAGCAGTGGCCCAGTCCGTTTCTTCTCACCCAGACAAACCTGAGTCAGAAGTAAATACCAGTATAGGGATTAGTCCACTGAAATCCTCTTTTGCGGGAAATGCTCACTGGGACACAGCGCAATGTAATAGAGAGATAAAGTTAATTATTCACAGTTTTGACATGGTTCACATGCCGTCGTTTTAACAGGAATTCCAAGAATTACTATTTTCTACCAACTTCTGACAGATTTCACTGTAAATGATTGCTGGATTCAGGCTGCTCTCAATACTTACAAATGACATTTTCCAGAGTAGACTTCAGTAACACATTAACACACCCACTGAGGCTTCATTTAAAATGAGACTTTCATGATGTTTTTATTTCTTTTAGATATGGAACATAATAACCCTGCTTATACCATCAGTGCTGCATTGTGCTATGCAACTCAGCTTGTTAACACTTTGTCTCTCATACTTGATGTAAATCTTCCCAAGAAGCTCTGCAACAGGCAAGTAAATGCAAGCCTCTTAGGAGGTGAATCAGTGACCAGTTTTGACTGATCTTAATTCCGTTTGGTTTTGTGAACGAAGTCATTACTTGGAACAGCTTTTATGGTAACGGTTGATGGCTCATGGATTTTTGTGCTGTTTAATTTTGGATGGAGGACTAGTAGGATTTTAGACCACAGTTAATAGTCTCTCCCTCCTTTTTTACCTCCTGAGAGTGTAGACCAACCATCATAGTTGAAAATAACAGCTTTCTAATTGACATATTCAGCGTCCTCAAATTAGAAATGAAATTTGACAGTCCATGAATAGCACTTTTCATTTTATGAGACCCTACTGTGCTTTACAAAATCCCAGCCCAATTCAGCAACTCTTAGTCATCTTGAATAGCTCCACTAAATTAAATGCTGGAGAACAAGGCCTTATAATATGGCATGACAGCAATGTAATTCTCTTTAGGATACAACACCAATGGGGAACATACCTGGCAGACGTCTGGGAGTGTATTGCGTAAACCCCATTTGTCATGAAAAGCACTGTTAGGTTTTTTAATGTCTATGTGGAGCAGATGGGATCTGTACAGAAGAAGTACTGAGAAAGCTGTAGACCTGGTCAGTCTTCCAGAGGTCTCAAATACGCTGCTGCAATTCTTTTAAGTGTTTAAAATAGTGGTTGCTGAAGTGAGGGCACAAAAGTTGTGTAGGGTCTCTGCAGTTTTTTTATACTATTGTTTGGGTGCTCAGTCTTCACAGAAGGAAAAGGTGGGAACAGGAAATGAAGCAAGATTTAAAAGGAGAGCCGAAAGAGCTTGGCTGCAGTGGATCTTCGAGTTTCATTCAGTTTACATCACCCATCCTGTTGAAACCGGAGAGACTAGGGCAAGTAGTGCTTGTTGATGAAATGCTAACAGTCTTGCAAGCTGAAAAATTAATCTCCTGAGCACTGGCTGTACAGTTTAAACAAGTGCTCAATGCGAGGATGTTTACTCCGGGATTTGTTAGGATTTGCTGATGTCTCCAGTAGGTGTATTTTCACAGCGTTTTGCTTTGTGTGTGTATATATATGTGTGGGTGTGGTGTTTCAACAGTGAGTTCTGTGGAGAGAATCTCAGCAGGCACAGGTTTACGCGGGCCGTGAAGAAGCTGAATGCTAACATCCTTCACCTTTGCTTCTCTCAGGTAGGGGCAATGCACATTTGGATTCTTTAAATAGCTTTTAAAACATCAACTGGGCCTGCAGGTTTTCTCCAATAACTGATCATGTCTTTTTCTTACTTTCCCCACGGTAGCATGTAAATTTAGATCTGTTGCACCCACTGCATACGCTCAGGAACCTTATGTACCTGGTCAGCCCAGACACTGAGAACTTGGGCAGGTAAGAAAAGCAGTATCTCAACTCACCTGTGACTGAATCCCTTTTGAAGTTATGCATTTGCCTTGTTACTTATAAGGGAAGTTCTTCTCTTCTGCTGTACCTATAGATCAGTCCTCAGCACATCAGGTATCAGGGTAGTTACAAGGAGGAGACAGGAGAGGACAGAAAAAGGGGGTCCTGAGTAGGACATTAGATTTCAGAAATGTGTGTATGCTGTGCTTCTGCATATGGCAGGCTCAGCTGGAGGCTTTGTAGCTGATTATGGACTTGTTTCCCCTACGCCCAGGAGCAGGAACTTCTTCCCTCCAGGGGACAGCAGCACATATACCAGGCAGTCTCACGGTGCTCCAAATATGACCCTACCCACATCTTGCCAACGTGTAAAGATCTAAAAGCATCCAGCAATATAAACCCTAAAACAAATACTAGGTAAAGCTTTCCCAAATACTTCCAGTCAGTGAACACCCTAGACCAAAGTCGACACTTAAAATAATATTCATTTCTATGTAAATTAAGATTAAAGGCTACTTTTCTGTTAACTTAGTACATGATGAAAAGAACATCAGTTTCTGTGGGTTGCATGCACCAGGTTTAATAATCTTCCTTTTCTTTACAACTTAAATATAAGAAGGCCAACATTGATCTCCTGTTGGGATAATCCAGTCACAAGTCACTTGTGCCTGTGACAGTCTGCAAATATCTGTTTAATCTGACTACTGCTTTATTCTCCCTTAAACACAGTAATGTTCTGAAATCTACTTTTCCACTTTGTTCTCGTGTACAGGTTTAGTTTTATTTAAAAACCTGCAGTGCCGCTAAGAGGAACTGAATGCATGCCTCTAACCACTTATGTTATGTTCTTTGGGTATATCCCTACTGATTCAGCCCAAAGATACAGGGAGCCAAATCTTTGTAACATAGCTCAGTTTGGAAAAAATGATGTGCTTGCTGTTGCTTGTCTGAAAAAAAGGAGAGTGCAGGAAATACCCAGAGAATGAAGAACTGTGTCCTGGAAAGCAGCTGCTGTGAAAGATCCAAGTGCCACAGTGGACAAAAAGCTAAGCCTGACAGATCCCCACGATGTGAAGTAAAAGGGCTGAGCAGAGAGACGGGTCTCACTTCTCTGTGCAAGTGTTACAGAGCTCCAGATGCATCAGTCGGGTCCATGTCGTAAAAGAAGAGGTTACAGGAAAGAGTCGGAGAAAATACCTACCAGTGAGGGGAATAGTTTAGTCTGTATAAAACTGTCTTAGCTCTCTAGAGATGAGATTGAGAGATGACTTGATTTCCACACCTTCATGGGGAGAAAATACAGGCTACTGAATGGCTTTATAGACACCATCGGAAACAAAGAGTCTGAACTAGGCTGAAATGAGGCACATGCATTTAACACAGAGATTAATTACCCGCAAGAATGAAGGTGGGGATTCTCTGTTTCTTTATGTCGTCCTGTCATGGCTGGATGAGTTTCTGGAATGGATGCTTTCATCAGGCAGAAGTTACTGGGCTCAGGACAGGGGGAACGGGTGGAATGTAATGGCCTTTGTTATAGAGGAGGTCACTTGAGATGATCTAATGGTCCCTTCTGGCTTTAAACCTGATGACTCTTTTCTTATGTTGCCTTGTTAAGCAAAATGCTTTGCCAGAAGGCAGCGCTCCCATTCCTTTCTGGATTATGAAAGAGGAGTGTTTACCTTTAATTTCTCAGTTGGCTGCAAAGTTTGCAACAACCAGCTCTCTTTATTTTCCTTTAGATATCTAGGCCTATAGTTGCCCAATAGTCTCCTTTATAAGTTACTGTTTTCAGATACATGTAATTTTACCAAGCTTTAATTGTTTGCATTAAAATTTTCCATGCTAAATTGCTGCTTCAGGCTGCTTCTCCCACTAAAGCTGGAGAAACACTCTTACCCGTGTTAAATTCTTGCTCCTGTTTCACTGAGCAGCTTTGTGCTTTGGAATGAACTTTGGCAGGGATGCTGCTTGCTGTGTGGGATCCACCATGTTTCATCACCTCTGTGAAAACCTCGTGCTCTCTGACCATGGGTCACGGGCCTCTGAAACTGCCTGCTTTGGCTCAGTAAAGATGTTTCAGATTTTGGCTGTCGATACTCCAGTGCAAAGGACAGGGTGGGATGCAATTGCTTCTCGCACCAGGCAGTGGCAGCAGGGAACTTGGACTCACAGCGCAGGTGGGTTTGGCCAGGACCTCTGGAGATCCAGCCCATCGCCCCACTCAAAGCAGAGCCAACTAGAGCAAGTTACTCAGGACCGTGGCCAGTGGAGTTTTTAATATCTCCGATGATGGAGACTCCACAGCCTCTCTCGGCAACCTGTTCCAGTGTTTGACTAGCCTCATAGTAAAAAAGATCTTGAGATGTCGCTCAAGGTGAAGTGCTGCTATGGGAAGTCTCCTCTGGTGAGTTGTGCCAGCCTAGTTCTGTAAGTTGTAAACGACACCCTTCCCCTTGCTGACAGAGCTGCAGCCATCTTGGCCTGGCCAAGGGCTAGTGTTAAAAATAAAAGCTGTTCCACATCAAGCTGAGATTTCCACCAGTGGAGTTGTGAGTTATTATCAATAGCTTTTTCTGTTGTGTATGCGTGTTTCACTGTCCACTGCCAAAGCAGAATAGCTCTTCCGCCGTTCCTGCTCCGTGGATTGGAACCCAGCTATCGCTTCCTTGGCCAACTGTTTCCGTTTCACCATTGTCATAATAAAGTTATCTCTGTAGCCAGCGAGTTTCCCTCTGCCAGCTGATAAACACAGAGGTGTTTTAATTTCCCTGCTGTACACATGACAGAGCAGGGTGCTTTGGCATGCCTAGGACTCACACCAGTGACGTGACAGTCCCTCTCCTGCATGGTACCAAACGGGCTGACGGCATTGTGTCCATGTTTGCAGGTCTGGCCCTTTCGAAATTAGTGCCGATCTCGAAGACTCCATGGAGTTCGTGGATCCCAGTGCCACTGGCGAAACAGATGAGAGCGGAGATGAGCACGTCAGCGATGAAGAGACAGATCTAGGGACAGACTGGGAGAATCTGCCGAGTCCCAGGTTCTGCGATATCCCCTCTCAGCAGGTGGAGATGCTGCAGAGCCAGAGCACGCAGGTATCTCAGCCCATTGCCAGCAGCAGCGCTGGTGGAATGATCTCGTCCGCTGCTGCCTCGGTTACCTCGTGGTTGAAAGCATACACTGGACATCGCTAACGAGCATGGGAAAAGGATCATAGGATTTGTGGAAGGAATCCCTCCCCGACAATGCTGTAGTAAACCTTACATATTCAGTTAAGTAGTGCCTGGAACAAAGAAAAGGTCAGACTTTCATTTTGTAAACCAGAAAAACCTTTTTATTTACCCAAGATGACTGTGATGGTACCGTTTTGTAAATTAGCTAGCTACGTACTTCTGACGGATTCTGTGATGGCACTTTGTGTCTTGGTTCTGTCTGCATTGTTGAGAATCGAAGAAAAAGGACCCGGTAGCCTCCAGCTCTACTTCCTAAAGAAGAAACAGATTTTGGAGTATTTGGATCGAGATGAGTACAGAGAGAAGGCTGCTCAGTATCCAGTCTGGACAGTGGTGCAAATGCAATTCACATTTTCTTAACTCCTTACAGGGTTTTCGTTTGTGTGTGTTTTAAATCTGTCTTGCATAATGCAGAAATGCGTATTTCTAAATTTTTTTCATTCAGGACATGAAAATTATGCATTTTTAACATGTTTTCTAATCTCTGTTGCCATATTTTTAATACAAAGAATCAGCATGGACAGGAATTCACACAGCAAATTGCTCTTATTTTAGATTTGGTTGTGAATCTTTACCCAGTTTTGCCACAGAAAACTGGCTTGTTTCATGCTGTTTCCACCGGTAGGTAGTCTAGAAGTCTCATGTTGTGCTGTCCAAAGCACGCAGGCTCTTTACTCTTAATGTCATACACCAAAGAAACACTGGACGTTCTTAGCTAGACCCACATTTGACGCCAATACAGGATTGCGTTGTTGCAATAATACTCATCAGTTACAACACCATGTTGCCACTTTTTAATATTAGAAAAACCTCATGTCAAGCTAGTTTAATGAAGTCACACGGGCTCCACACTACATGCATTTTAAACCCTGTTCTATTTTATGTTTATGGTGGGGTTTTTTTCTTTCCTTGTTTACTGAATGCCAAGAAGTTGATTTCATTTCACTGCAGAAATGCTCACAGCGCAGCTGGCTCGCATGTAAAACTACAGGAGGTGCGATACTGACAGATGCGTTCGTTAACAAGTGCTCCTCCACTTCCTCTGCCTTGCGGTATGTATTACTTAAAGATGGGTTTGCTCAGTGAGGCTTCCAACGTATGGTTTACATTTTATAGAGTTGGGACATTGTACTTCTCCACATGGTAAACTAATGTAAAAGCATCCTCCCATCCCTCCAGGAGGGAGGATGTCTGCCACTCTTCCCTGTAGCTTCCCTGTGGCAACGCAGCTCGTAACGGGGGCACGGCGAGGCTGCAGGAAGTGGTGCACAAGCCACGTCCCTGCCATCAGGGAGTGTCCTCTGCGTGTTTGAAGTCCCAGCTCTGGGGCTGGCTTACCTGGCCATCTCACGGACTGTTTTGTGGTGGTCTCGCTCTGTTCCTCTCCAGGCCAGCCAGCGCTGCCTCCTGTCTCCACCGAGGAGTGGGTGGAAAAGCAGTTTTGGTACTGATGCGTGCGTACCCCAGCAAGCTCCACGCCAGGGGTACCGGCGGAGTATCGTGTCTCACAGCTCCCTGCCCCTCTCGTACGGCAGCTCTTTCTCTTTGGCCTTGGGGATGGGCATCTGTTGTCGGTAGTTTCTTTTTTCTTTTTTTTTAAACCAAAGACCCTTAACTCCGCACTAACAGCACGCACGTCGTTAGATGAAGACACCCTCGGTTCTACCATTCTTTTGGTCTAAATCCAATAGTTGGGTTTTAAGAGAACAGCCAAGACTCCCTTGACTACTGCAGCCTGAATGGGGACGGTGCCCCCCAGCCCCCCCGGCAGCAAGCGCTGCCCTGGCCGGGGCCGGGAGGGTTTGGTCGCTGTTCAGTTCACAGCACTTTACTCGCTTGCAGCTATCGGATCCTTTGCAGTTCTGAGCAACCAGCACATACTCACCAGTACTGTATATTGGGGTCTTAGCGTTGCACAGCCCCTTCTGGTTCCCCATTTATTTTGCACTGGACCCCGCTGTATAAATATCTTCTTTTTTTTTTTTTCTTTTTTCCCCTCTTGTTTTTAATAGGCATTTCAGTCACTCTTTCTTGCTGCCTTTGTGCTACTTTGAACCCCTAAAGGTCAGGCCGTGATTCAGCTTTGTACACTGTCATTTACTTACATCATGTTTTCCAAATAATTTATTTGCAACCATGACATATTCTAAAAGTGCAAACAGCACTGCGAGGGTGTTAAAATGCATTGGGATAGGTCTTTTCATGAAACGTTTTTGTAACAGAATACAGATTGTGGTTTGTTTTTTTTTTTTTCTTTTTAAAGTTTTGCACATGTGTAGCTAAGGAAGAATTGTGTGTGTCCAAACCTCGAGTGCAATTGCCAGGATTAGTTTTCCAGGTTGGTTTGGGGGCGGGGGAGGGAGGGCAGGAGTATCTGTAATTATAGATATTTGAAGACAGCCAGCTGAGAGTTTACAAAACACTTTGCGTAGCATGAATGCGGGAATTTCAGTTTAGGCCATGACTTTTGTCCGTGACCAGTGATCTGGGGTGGCCGATCTGAGCTGCCAAGGAAGAACCTGATTTCGAGAGCCCAGCCCTCTGCTGAAAATCAGGTGCCTCTGAAGGGTCTCATGTGGGACACCCGAGGGTTGCTTGTCACCTGCAAAAACTCGGGGCCTCTCTCTGCAACTTCCGAACTAGATGTAACTAAACACAAATGTTTTGGGTTTTTTTCTAAATTTTATTGTATTATTGCAATAAATCTTTAACAGTAATTTTTTAAAGTTGTATATTTATAATTGTTACTTCTGTGTGGTTTGTTTTTTTACCGTGCTGGGGCATTACACAAGAATTTCCAGCCCTCAAGAGCATCACAGGGACCAGACCTGTTACAGTGCAATCATACAGCGGTGGAATAAGCAATACCCATTCTAAAAAAATACTCTTACATAAAATAACTGCATCTCCATTGGAGCAGGTAGACGAGTCCTGCAGAACACACACACACGTCCCTATATGTACATGTAAACGGATAAATCTCTGGTGTAAGCCTGGCTTTGAACTGCTCCGCTGCTGGGTGACATTTGTTTCTGCAGGTGGTGAGCCTGGATTACTTCTGCATGCAAGGGAAGACGCTCCTCTGTAGAAGGTCGTTTCAGAAGGAGGCAAGCCTCTGTCTTTTGGAGGAGGTAACTGTTAAAGTGAACCGTTGTGTGTCTGAGCGACAGGGATGGGAAAGGGCCGTTTGTCACCAAGAGGCGGGCTCTGCCCCCAGGATCTGGTGGCCTGGCAGGCCGTGGTTTACTGGCTGCTGAATGATAGAGGAGAAACAACCCATCCCACTTAATTTTTTGTGGCAGCTACCTGACGGGGAGGACCGATGCCCCGTGATTCCTGTCTGCTACACACTGAAGAGCCGCAGCAGCAGCAGGCAGGGGCAGTTTGCTGCCTCGGTCGCAGCAGTCGGGCATGGCCATGCAGGAAAAGCAGCCTGTGCGCAAAGCCAAGCCTGGCTCCAAGCTCAGCTCATGCCTACGGGTTGCTTAGGTCACTTCTGCTTAAGCAGTGCCATCAGCAGGAGGTTTTGTCCTCTGCCAACACTGGTTTGTGGCAGGAGAGCAGCCCCGTAATGCCCCGAGTCCCCTCCCTACTCCGGGGTTGCCCGGACCAGCCCAATGCAGGCTGGGGAAGAGAAAAGCCCAGGGTGAGGCTTCAGCACCGCTCCCACCTTGCAAGAAGTGGGACTCAAGACGGAGGTCGGATGCATCGGTGCAGTTTTGTGGAGGTGCGAAATGACGGTTCCGGGGACTGGCACGAGGACAAACGCTGCAGAAAGCGAACTGGGGCCAACGCACGGGAGCTGGACTCTGATAAAGCACTGCAGAGCCTCCTTACAGGGAGCAGAGATGCGGCAAAGGGGAAAAGCTGCTGTGGAAATAGGCGGGATGGAGCGAGAGCCCAACCACAAGCCTCAGCCACGGGTGGCTTTTTCAGCGGTGTCCATGCCAGGAGACCCCCAGAGCTTGATGAAAACTGGAAGCTTACGAACAATGGAAACGTTATTACAATTTCTTCACAGGCGTATCTGGGAATTCAGTCGCAACGCTCCAACCGCTCCCAGGCAGGGAAGTGAAGCACACAGCACACTCTTTAGTTCTCAGTTCTGAACGCTGAATTTTGTAAATCCAACCCTGGGCTTTTTTTTTTTTTTTTTTCATTGCCTCTTGGGGCTGGGGGGAGGGGAAGTTCATCAGACCTGGGCTTCTCCCTGAACTGGCCCTTAAGGAAACAGAAACCTGCACTTTACTACTGTATGGGAAATAAAAGCTTGCAGGCAGCTCAGCATGGCTACATTCAGAACCAACCCACTTCTGGATGCACAAGTTTGTTCCGTAAAGCAATTTTTAACAGCAATGCAGTGCAACAGGGATGGTTCCGGCAAACAGCATAAATGATGTATGAAACAGCCTGTGTTCCTCAGCCAGCTTGGGAGGAGGGCGGGGATGGGGTAGAGAGCAAATTATCCTCCGTATTTAACTGCTCCAAGGAACAAAATAGCCCAAAGCTATTATTTTATTCTCATTTTTCCCCTTGTTCAATGAAGGTGACCAAAATCTCACACCCTGTTCCAAAAAAAAAAAAAATTACCTCACTGGCCCCCTTATCTAGTTAAAAAATATTTTCCTCTGCTGCTTCTATTTCAGCCTCGCAGGGACTTTCCTCGCTGCTGTCAGCCTGGCGCAGGTTATCTCAAGTTTTCCAGAGTCTTGGGTGGGGGGCAGGAAAGCAGTTTCTTCCCCCCTTCCTTAACTGAAATTAAGCTGAAAGCCTTTGATGCTGATGGCTTTGGCAAGACAACTCCTGCCAGAAAGTTGTTTTGCTGCTAGTCCCAGTGCAGCCGACGGAGCGGATCGAAGCTTGCGTGAAGCCTGCGCCCCGTTAGAGAATGAAGTCACGAATTAACGAGGGATCCTGCTTTTCCTCTCCCTCTTCACAGCTGATTACAAGGCAGCCGCACC